CCACTGAGCCACAACCCCAGGCCAACACTCCAGCTTTTAGGCAAAAGCGACGACTTTCTCAACAGGACCCTGAAAGCTCAGTAAACAATGCCAAGAGTTAATGGGGGAAGGAGGCATCAATTTAAAAAGCTTCTGTACAGCCAAGTAAACAATTAGGAACATGAAGAGAGAACCTATAGAATGGGAGAAAATCTTTGCTAGTTACTCTTCTGACAGAAGATTAATATCTAGAGTATATAAAGAACTCAAAAAACTTTATATGAAAAAAATCAAATAACCCAATTAATAAATGGGCCAACAAATTAAACAGACATTGCTCAAAAGAAGAAATACAAATGACCAACAAATGTATGAAACAATGTTCAACATCATTAGCCATTAGGAAAATTCAAATCAAAACTACACTGAGGTTTCAACTACTTCACCTCACTCCCATCAGAATGACAGCCATCAAGAATACAAACAATGATAAACACTGGGGAGGATATGGAGAAAAAGGAATACTTTCACACTGTTGGTGAGACTGTGAAGTAGTACCACCACCACGGAAACCATTATGGAGGTTCCTCAAAAGGATAGGAATGGAGCTACTGTGTGACCCAGCTCACTACTTCTTTATTTATCCTAGAGCATCAAGTCATCCCACTGCAGTGACACATGCACTCCCATGTTTAGAGCAGCACAATTCACAACAGCCAAACTGTGGAACCAGCCTAGGTGAATATCGATAGAGGAATGGATCAAGAAAATGTGGTACTTATACACAATGGAGTTTTACTGAGCTCGAAGAAAAAGGAAATTATGTGATCTGCAGGAAAATGGATGGAACTAGAGATGACCATGTTAAGTGAAATAATTCAAACCCAGAAGGTCAAGGAAGGCATTTTTTTCTCTCACAAGCGGAAGCTAGAGAGGAAAAAGGAAAAGAGAGGCGGGGTGGGGGTCAAGCTCATGAAAATCAAAGAGAGATGAGTAGGGGAAAGGGACCAAGGGGTGGGAGATGCAAAGACTGGGGAAAGTGCTGGGAAGTGATACTGGCCAAGTTATATTGTTATATTGTATACTACGTGCATGTACCAATATGTAACAAAAATCCTATCAGTATGTACAACTATAATACACAAGAATAAAATGGGGAAATAAAAAGTGCTGTCATCTAGTGTGTATGTCAAAGTACTATTATCCTTTCCTGTTAAAGAATCTGAACTCCACATTTATGATACATTGTCTCTCTTTCTGTCCCAAACTAAAGTCACCTTCAAAACACAATCATTTTGAAATTGTTTACTGCAGCCAACTCTTGAGTTCCTACATGATGGTAAAACAGACCATCAAGAAGTGAAGATCATATCCTCAAGAAGTGAAGATCAATTCCTCTCCTTGAGTATGAGCTGGATTTAGTAAATTCTAACAAATAGCATGTGGCTGAAATAACAGAGTGTCACTTGTAAGACTCGGCTATAAAGTATGACAGTCTACCCCCTTTTCTCTTTTGAACCACTTGCTTTGTGGGAAGCCTGCTGATGTGCTCTGAAGACACACAAGTAGCTCTATGCAGGGGTCCATGTGGCAAGGAATTAAGGCCTCCTGACAATGGCCATGGGTGACAGCCACCTCAGAAACAGATTCTCAGTTCCARGTAAGCCTTCAGATGACTCTCCCTCCCCAACACTCAACTGCAACCTTGAGAGAGACCCTGAGCTAGAACCACCCACCATGTTGCTCCTAAAGTGTTGTTATCTCAACCATTATAAGACAATAAATGATCACTATTTGGGTTTGAATTATCACTAAGTTTTGTGGGCTTTGGTTTTTTTGGTCCTGGAGAATCAAACCCAGGGCCTTGTGCATACCAAGCAAGAGGTCTACTGCTGAGCCATATCCTCAGCCCAAAATTACTTTCACATTTTTTTGGATACTGTTACAGAGCGACAATTAATGTTCAGTTATATGTGAAAGAAATCTGGTTAACATAGTCATTAGTAACAGAAAACAATCTGTTTTGTTACTAATGACTTGTCAGGATAATGTACTTTTTGGTCTATCTTTTTCTTTCTTGGGAAGCTTAAACCCTAGAGAAACAATAAAGGAAATTTTATCTAAATTTATATCACTCGCATACTCTAGTATTTATTTTAATATTTGACCGCTATTTGGAAGACCACATGCCATGGTTCTGTGGACCCAAGGGGAATACTGTGTTTCACAGTTCCATAAAGGTTGCCCAAACATTTCTAAAGTTTAGGTGAGAATTTAAATTATAGGTTTTAAAAATCACTGAACAGATCAGTTTCATGCACGTATGACTTTGTTCAAATGAACCTGTATGTATAACTATAATGATCTAATTAAAAAATAAAAATAGGGATAATGTTTCAGCCCTTGGATGGTTACTACCAAGTGAAGTCCTCTCTGTGGAGTGCCAGATAACAATCAGTGGCATTCAGTAGGTATTCAGTTTTTTCTGTGTGTTAGCTGCATATAAATTTGAATCTTAGCTTTCTGTGTTTAATAAACAAATCTCAATGTTAAAAAAGAATCACTGAACAGGAATATACAACCATTCTAACAGTAGTTTAAATCGATCTCCTTGGGGCTGCTCTCCATGTTGTACTCTGTTTCCTGCTTGGTTTCTGATTTCTATGACATTACAGCGTCAGTGTAGTAAAATTCAGACAGACCCTTATTCAATTTCCAATTCTGCCTCTTGCTAACTATATAACCTGTGGCAAATTATTTAATCCTCTCTTGGTTCTAGTTTCCTCATCTGTAAAATGGAGTCAGCAATCACTAGTGTATCTGGAGTTGATTTTGAAGGTTAAATGAGATTCATAAATGTAAAGGGATCTAATGCAGTCCCTGAGCTAGTGGCCATTTCATTATAAATGTCAATACTATTTTTATTTTGAACTACTAATATGAGATATATTTCAAAACACTTGCAAAAAAATTAAGAAAAAGGGGCTGGGGTTGTGGATCAGTGGTGGAGCGCTTGCCTAGCATATGTGAGGAACTGGGTTCAAGCCTCAGCACCACATAAAAATAAAGGCATTGTGTCCATCTACAACTAAAAAAGTTTAAAAAAAAAAAATTACGAGGGAAGCTACGATAAAAGAAGACTATGGTAAAAGAAACAGCAATAGAGAAGTCATTCTTTTGTCAGAGAATTCAACATTAGGGTAAAACACCCTCCTGCTGTCCTTTAATTCTTCAACAGTTAAAAAAAAATTGAAAACATGCCAAATCCAAACCACAGTACTGGCAAAAGATTGAGGATCAGATCATCTCTCGGCCAACTCTGTACTGGCCACAATGAAGGGAAGTGTCCTGAGCACCCGGCTTTACCAACTGGTCCAGGTGGGTCTCCATGGCACCTTTCTATAGTGTTTACACTGGATGCAGACAACCATCTCACTAAGGAACATACCTTTAAAGCATAAAAATGTTTAAGCAGCTTACAGTTTGACAAAAATGTCAATTTTAATGAAACAGGTTTTGTTAATTTTTTTTAGAAATAATTTTAATGTAAACAAAAATGTCAACTTACTCTTCAGCAGGCAAGCCAATTAACAACAACTTGTCAGATTGTTTCAAATAAGCCACATGAATTTGTTTTCCATTTAAAAGGAGGGATGAGCTAAGAAAAATAAATTTAAAATAAAGTTAGAATATTTTTAAATGTCATAAATTTATAAAAAGCACCCATAAAAAATTACATATGGTATGATTTAAGAACTGAACACTCAATAAGCAAATTTCTTGGCATATACCTAACTGCCACACAGAAAAGGCAAGGAATTATATGAYGACAAAATGCATTCTAAACTATTTTAAAAACAGAAACAGAAACAACCCAACAAATTCTAGGCCAAAAAAAGTAGACTCAGCATTTTTAAAAAGCTGAAATTCTTTTGTTAACACAAGTGACTATGCACAACTTTTTTCAAAAGAAAGCCATCCATCCCCGTTGGTCAATTTAATAAAGCTCTTGTGACTGCCTATTCATGAGCATGATTTGCTAAAGATAATACAAAGAAAGGAAAGCAGACATGATCCCAGCTTAGAAGATGATAATTCAATAGGAAACACAGACTATAAATAAGTAACAAAAACATRTATCAGGTTTAAACTTGTTCTCAAGGAAACTTTTGGGGTGATATTCACTGTGGTAGTGGTTTAGTGATCTCTGTAACTGCCAGAATTGATAAAACTGAATATATTACACATGTACAGTTTATTGTACTTCAATTGTTTCACAAAGCTAAAAAAAATTAAATGTGTTCTCAAAAGAGATGTGATAATAACTATGGAAATACAGAGAACAGTGTGGGAGATTTTTAAAAAATACTGTTAGTTGTATATGGACACAATACCTTTATTTTGTATATTTAGTTTTTTTTATATGGTGCTGGAGATTGTACCCAGTGCCTCACGCATGCTAGGCAAGCGCCCTACCTCTGAGCCACAACCCCAGCCCAAGTGTGTGGAATTTTAAATATGAATTATTAAACAGATTTTTTATCCCAAAAGAACATCATTTTTGTTTTCAAATAAAGTTTTAAAATAAATATACTTTTGCACAAATATCAGACTTATGGTCATATTAATATTACTAGAATTTAAAGATTGTTAAGGAACCACCAAAATAATAATTTTCCTATTCGCTTCCTCAAAAAAGTTTTTCTAACTGTATTTACTACTTTCTGCATTTTAACTCCACACCTAATTATTAATAACAAGATCTAACTATTAATTAAAATGACATTTATCCTATACAATCAAGGGGAAAGCAAATCTACATGGAGTCCACCCCAAACAAACTTTCTTTATAAATGAGGACTTTACCATGAAACATTATGCTAAATGAAAAGAAGTCAGTCACTAGAAACCACACATCATATGATTGCAATCAAATGACAAGTCTGGAATAGGGAAATCCTGAGGGATAGAAAGCAGATTAGCCTAGGGCTTGGCTTGGGGAAGACAGGCTGATTATAAAGGAAATGGGGTTTCTTTCTTTTTTGGGAGGGGCGTGTAACCAGGGATTGAACCCAGGGGCACTTACACTAAGCCACATACTCAACCCATTTTTATTTTTTATTTTGAGACAAGGCCTCACTAAATTGCTGAAGCTGGCTTTGGACTTGTGATCCTCCCATGTCAGCCTCCAGAGCTGCTGGGATTAGAGGTGTGTGCCACCACACCTGGCATAAAGTTTCTTTTTGAAGCAATTAAAATGTTCTAAAATTGACCTTAGTGATGGCCGCACACATCTGTCAATGCACTTGAAACCACTTACCCATGTGCACTTTTTAAATGGCTGAAATATATTGTTTATGAACAATAGCTCAATAGAGGTGGTTTCAAAAAAAAAAACGGGCTAAGGAAGTAGCTCACTTGTATAGCACTTGCCTAGAAAGCCTTGGGTTCAAACCCAGCAGGGCAAAAATAAAAATAAAAACAGTCCTGCAGTATGTTTTTATGAATGTGAATTTATATATTAAATGGAGCCTTGGGTAATACTGTCCTGAAGATGGAACTATATATATCATACCTAAACTCAGAGAGTCAAACATGAATTTGATTTAGGAAAATAAGGACATTCATTCTTCTTCCTATTGTCCTATAGATCCTACCTCTTATAAAATCATAGAAGCATCACTGTACCAGAAGACGGGAAATGAAGTTAAAGCCTAGAAAATCTAACTTGGTGTTTTATCATTAATATGAGGAACCTTAAAACTTGAAATAAAATTTCTTTTTACACTCTAAAATTTTTATAATATTAAGAAAGAAAAAGTGTTTGTAATATTTAATTTATTATGAGAAAAAAAAATTCAAAGATTTTGAGCTTTCTCATCTCAAAGGCCCTGGCATTTCAGTCAGGACTTGATAAATCAAAGTGGAATAGCTCTGAAACTGACTATGTTTTACACACACACACACACACACACACACACACATATGTGTGTGTGTATATATACATATATAATATATATATATATATATATGTGTGTGTGTGTGTGTGTGTGTATACATATAAAATTATTTGGCATTAGACTTGCTTATCCATCACTGAATAAACCTCACGGATGACAATTTTCCTGAATATTCCTCTTAAAGTATTCTGTATTTTTATATTGTTGTTTTAAGAATAGAATATGAAAAATTCAGTGTTCTGAAAGGCACTGCCTAGCAAGTTACCCATCGAGATAAAAAATGAAGCCTAGACTCATAATAATGCCATGTTTAAAAGACATGACCTTTATGAAGAAACACAGGTCATTAGCCCAACTCCATCATTAAAGTATGAAACACCTAGATCCAACTATACTGGAAACCTACACTCTAAATTTAATAGATGGCTGGTGGAAAGAATTTGGATGAAACCAAATTCTTCAGACATCCTATCCTATATATCAGTATAGGTATCTATCTTATAGATAAARGTATATTTGTATGATAGATAAATTTAGCATTTTGTTAGAATCGAAGAAAAGAACTTGAAAGAAATGTAGTTAAAGCTAAATAAAAAATTTTACCTAGTAACCTGTGTCCCAGTTACATTTTCCAGCATGTCACAGAGTGTGAGAAAAATTCCTCTCACACTTTTAAGCTTCTGAGATGCTTCAGACATTGGATAGTGATAAAGAATTTCCTGCTGTTAAATGAAAGGAAACAGAAATGATAACCCTCCTGAATTTCCAGCCATTATTTTTGTCATGGATAGTTCAGACTTTGTATTAAGAACAAAACAAAAAAGAATTCTGACTTCAGGGTGAGTTTTATTCAAACACAAGGAGAGAAGTATGCTTGGAATTTGAACACATTAACTAGCATTTGAAAATTGGTTAGAGATTGCCAATTGCTCATGGTACCAAAATATATACTAGGATACTGATTATTAAAATTATAGTTAATTTAATTTCAAAATGTTTTAAATTTTAATCTTAACAGTAATTTCTAATACTAATATTTTATTGTATTTCATTGCACAGACATTTCCATCTTCCAGAGTTATACAGCTACACACACCACATACAACTTTTAGGAGTCCTTAAATGAAGTGCCTTTCATATTGCCTTTTAAAAGATCATCTTTATCCATTTTGGTAAAATTATTAAATATTTATTTAAAATCAATAAAAATCTGCAATTAAGCTTACAAAATAAGAATAGAAAATGAAATTAAAGTCATACACACAGAAAAAAATCATGATATTATAAAATCCTATTTGTCATAAATTTGAAAGGGTTTGCATACCACAAATTAATATTAATTCAAACATTAAAAGAGAGCACATTTTGTTCTACATTATGGGAAATACTAATCTATAAGATAAATCACAAAATGCTTAATAATTTTCTATTTTTAAGCAGAGCATGTTTCCAGGAAAAAAAAAATAGCTTTTACAAAATAAAACAGCATAGTTCAAAATCAGGCTGTGCACTGTGCTAACACTTTTTAAAACATGAAGAGATGAACCCTTTTGTTTCTCACTTTTGCGCTTTTAAGGAAACAACTATATTTCTCACAAGACTAATTAAAAGCAGGCAAAATAAAAATTTCTAGATAGAAACCATGGGGAACTCAGACTAATTTCTAGTTACTATTTAATGACTACATCCATAAATTTAATATGGCCACAGTTGAAAACCTGAACTCCTTAAATATCTACCTTTTTTYCCTTGGTTCTCCATCTCTGTAAAGAGTATTAAACAACTTGATCTGGTCTCTTTATACAAGCAATATGACACTGTGTCCAAGGCAATTTTTAAATTATGACAAATAAATCAGGATAAATTTGGACATTTCTGCTTTTGTTTCTTACTAAGCACAAAATACTTCAATATATGCAAATTGTTATGAGATATGTTGGCCAAATACACTCTGCCTCACAGTTCAAAAATTTTGCAATATTTTTCAGTGTAAAAACAGTTACCAACCACTACGTTATCTCTAAAAATTAAGTCAAACATTGATTAAGATCTACTGTTATGTGCACTTGATAAGTTTAAACCTTGGCCAATGAATACTTTAATTGCATTTAGATAAAAATACTAAACATTGTTTTAAACAAATAGTCTTTGATTAGTTTTTGAAATCTCTCAGTTTATAGTCTTTATTCTCCAAGTCTTGAAGAAAAAAAGTTTTTTATCACACATGTAACTCACAAAAAAACCAAAATGACCCTTTGACATTTCACTGTAAAATATACTAGTTAAAAAAGGTCAATTGAGAGCCTCCATTCTGGTTTTACACACTCAGTAGGAAAGCCCTGGCAAGCTCTACAGTTCCTCACCAATTTAATTAGCTGTATTTTAWGCAATTTCTAGTAGCATGCATTTGCAGCAACTTCCACTCTGTTCAGTATGAATAAAAAGCCTCTCCTAATTACAGTGTTGATACAGGGCTGGCAGCAGACAGACCTGTTCATTTGTGAAACATCTACACACTTTCCCAGGAAAAGAAAGGCGAGGACAACAAAAGGTCTTAGCAGTCTCCCACTACAAAATGACCTGGAGAGACTCAGGATACAATTATTCCTGAAATTTGCTGGGGGTTTTATATAACAAATGCTTAAATGCCTCACTTGTTTTAAAGATATAAGGAGCCAATAATATAAGAAATTAGAATTACTAACTCCAACTCTCTATGTATTTTTCAGAAAATAGAAAATTGCAAAAATATGAATGAATATCTTCTTTGCCACTTCAAATATTAAATTCTAACATAAGAAGCAACACAGAGAACTATATCTCTTGGAATAAATGGCTTTGGCATTGAAAATGTCACTTCTATTTGGTGCATTATGGTAAAGTAAATGCTTTCAGAGACTCTCATTTTGTAAAACCAGATGCTGGGGCAAAACACKCTTGCTGAATTGCTTGCATGCAAGAAAACAGAGGTTCCCAAGGGCCTCTCCCACATTCTTCCAACATTCCCTTTCACTGCAAAGCAAGCAGGGCCTTAGAAGTACTGAATTCAGGGCAATAGGCCACAACAGGGTTGTCCTGAGGACTGATGTCCACAGGAGCTTTAATCAAAACACTGAGCCCTGGGCTAGCAGCAAGGTAGATGAGCTGATCTGAGGGCCACGACTTTAAGCAGAGACCTCAAGGAAGGCTGAAGTGCTYGAGGCTGGTGGCAGAAGCCTAAGAAGCAAGTTCTCCCTGAAGGAAAGTATTCCCACTTTAGAACCACAGGATTCACAAGATAAAAGCGAGCAAAGATGTAAGGTTTAGATCCTAATGTTTACCGTTAATGGTTGAATCCTAATGTCTCCCAAAGATCCATAATACCAGCCTGTGGCATTACTGTAGGGTGGCAAAACCCTGAATCATGAAGAAGTTAAAAAACCTGACAAGAACAATAATGAGCAAAGAGATTACATCAGTAATAAAAAGTATACCATCAAAGAAACGYCCAGGACTTGATGGCTCATAAGTGAATTCTACCAACTTTTTAATGAAGAATACTATGTTTTTCTTAAAAAGAAAAAAATGAAGAGGCGGGTCCTTCCAAACTCATCCTATGAGGCCAGCATTACCCTGATAACTAAAAACACAAGGAAAAATAAGAAGAAAACTATAGGCCAATAAACATTTAAATATAAGATTCAAAGCTATGAAACTACTAAGAGAAAACAGGAGAAATGTCTTGGAACATTAGGCTGAGCCAAGATCTTTTTTTTTTTTTTTTTTTTTTTAAACAAGGCCCCAAACAAAAGACACTGAAAGCAAAAATTGACAAATGGAACTACATCAAACTACTAAGCTTCTGCACAGCAAAGGAAACCATCAACACGACTATGAGACAACCTATAGGATGGAAGAAAAGATCTGCAAACTAAACATCTGACAAGGGGTTAATATCCAGAATCTATAAGGACTCAATTTACTAGCAAAAGACAGAAAAAAAAAGTCCAAAAAAATGTGTTCAAGAAACACTGAGAAATGAATTTTAAAAATATAAGCCAGGCATGCTGGCACATGCCTGTATCCCAGTGGGTCAGGAGGCTGAGGCAGGAGGATCATGAGTTCAAAGCCAGCCTCAGCCAACTTAGTGAGGCCCTGGGCAATTCAGCGAGACCCTGTCTTGAAATAAAAATATAAAAAGGGCTGGAGATGGGCTCAGTGATTAAGTGCCCCTGGGTTCAATCCCCGCTACACACGTGTGTGTGTGTGTGTGTGTGTGTGTGTGTGTGTAAAAGACACCAAAACTATTCACAACCTATGAAAAAAATGTTAGCACTACCTGTACCCAGCAGGAAGGAAGGACAATGCCTGAAAAAGGCACCAGGAACTCTCTGGGGTGATGGAGATGCCCCGTGTCATAGGGAGTGTGATACTGCTTACACAGTGCACAGATGTGTGGAAACTTCTGAAACTGCACACTTGAAGTTGTTTAGATTTGTTATATATAGGTAATTTCTCAATAAAGCTGACAAAAAAAATAGGTCCTTAGCTTCTAGAAGTACTGCAACAACACCTTCTCCTTTCACCTTTTCTTACTGCTTGAAATAACTGAATAGTCGATTCATTTTTATTTTAAAAACGTGTAGTGTGAGATATTCATGTATACAGGAATATAAAGTACACAGTTTTAAATAATAATAATAATAAAACACAGTTAATTCCCTGTAGTTTCTTCTTCAAATAAAAAATGCTCATTTACTAGGAAGACCGKAAAAGGTCCTTCTCCCCCTGCTACGTCCAAGTCACTCACCTCTTCCTTCGAGATCTCCGAGTCGAGCTGCAGCGTGAGGTACATGATGATGTGAGGCGAGTTCACCATATTCTGCGGGATGCTCCCAGCCTCTTCTCCCCACAGCAGTTTGACTAAATCATTTGTGTTAGACTGTGCCTTCTTCTTTCTTAGTTGGTTTGTTTCCTTTTTTACAGCATACGCATTTTCAAATGTCAGTTTCACCTTTAAAAATTAAAACAAGGTGTTGGTTTTCAACAAGGCAAAATTAGCTGCATTTTCCCCAAAGAAGGTGAGCTGCACACACGCTCGCGAGCGTGAGTTCACTGTGGCTAGATCACCCAGGCAAGGTCCTGATGGCAGGGCTGGGTGTTCTCTCAGCATCTCCAGCTCCAGCTCCTTGCACACGGCCTGACACAAACAACCACAGGTGTTTACTGAGTGAGGAAGGATACAATGCTCTGCACAAACATCCATTAACTTAAACTTAATCGGTGACCACACAAACATAAAGATTGTGAAAAAACAGAAATCAGACGCTGTGACGGTGCAGAGGGCAACAGCACCCTGCGACTGCGGAAGGCCCAGCCACCTGAGGAGGAGGAGGGGAGGGATTCAGGATGGAAAGTGGCCTGGCTCAGCCAGTCGGCTCTCCACTCAAACACGCTTCTCTCAGACATCCTTGGGGGTCCGTTAAAACAAAGGCTAAGAAGGTAAAAAGCCATCACCACGCTGGACCTTGGAACATGGCCCTATAAAGATTATCTGTCAATTTTATCAAGACACTTCATTCCGTGGCTTGTTATCYAGATTGCTAAGAATCCAGAATGTGGCCATTTTCGAGCTGTTAAAAGGTGGCTTCCACTCCTCAATGTTTCCTTGAAACGCTGGCCCAGGATAACCCTCTCATTTCGAGGCCGCCCCAGTGTGTATCTTGACTAAAAAGTCAATTGTGTGCAATGAGGACATCATCACAAGCTATGTAAGTACAAGGTAAGTATCTACGGACATTCTAATGATGACAATCAATAAAGTTTAAAATTTAAACATCAAAGTCCGATAATATTTTTTAAATAAAGTTAAACTTTTAAAGGAAAAGGACAAATTCTTGTTTAAGAACAAAGAAAACTAATCAATATTTAAAAGCAGATAAAATTGTTTGCAGTAAGGTATATTTGGGATAGAATATTTATTAATAAAGTAATAATTCCTATTTTAATAAATTTATTGCAAGAGATAACATTTTCAAAGTCAACCTAAAAAGGCATGATGAATTCTACCATTACACTCTCCTTTTTTAAAAATATTTTTTTAGTTATAGATGGAAACAATACCTTTATTTTATTAATTTATTTTTATGTGGTGCTAAGGATCGGACCCAGTGCCTCGCACACGCAGTTATGAGCACTCTACCACTGCGCCCCAGCCCCAGCCCCAGCCCTACAGTCACTCTTTTAAAAATGAGCTTTATATATTTTCATCAAAAATGTTAAGCACACTTTAAAAAAAAAAATCACTCAAAACCCTACCTGCTCATCTAATTGTTACCAGTATTACACCATAAATCTTTCTTGATGAATAAATCTTCCAAAATAAAAAGGACAGATGCTCCCGTTTTGTTGGCTAGGAGTGACTGCTTATGGTCGTATCCAATTTTTCTTATCTGTAGCTCATGGTGGCATTTCAGAAGCACAAGATTTCTTTGTCTGCCTAAGTGGACTAAGTTAAACACACATCTCTTCTGAGTCTCAGGCTTTATTTTATAAATAAGTTGCTATAGTTTGGATTTGTTTGGGGGCGGGTGGGGGGCACCCTACCACTGAGCCGCACTGCTAGCTACATCACTAGCTCTTTAGTTTGGATCTTAAATATGCCCCAAAGGTCCATGTGGCTAAAGCCTTGGTCCCCAGCAGGGGGAAACCAGAAGGCGATGGAAACCTCCAGAGTGGGCTCAGTAAGAGGTCTTTACACAATGGGGCATGCCTTCTAAGTGGTCTGTGGGAGCTGGTACTTTCCTCTCTCTCTTTTTTGCTCCTTGCCATGAAACAAGCAGTTTTACTCCATCACTCGCTGCCCCTTACTGCCATCTGGCACTCCCAAAGAGGCCTAAAAATAATAGGTTCACCTTTTCAATCATGAACTAGAATGTCTAAAACTGTGAGCCAAAATGAACCTTTTTTCTTTTTAAGTTGATTATCTCAAGTATTTGTAACAGTGATGTTAAGCTAACTAACACAGAAGTAGAAAATAAGAGACACTGAGTCTCAATTCATCCATATGTATATATTCAGAAAAAAGATGAAGTTATGCAGACCAATAGTCAGTAGTGATTTTTATACTAAGTAGCAGGAGAGAAGTTCTTCATGAAACGTTTCTGAGGCATGATAGTCATGTTTCTTTACAAGACATTCAATGTAATTTTAAATGGAAAAGATCAACATTTACTAATTTTTTGTTTTCTATAAACCTGATGTTAAAAAATAAACCTTTTGTATCTGAACATTATATTTACAAAGGCCAAATAAAAAATTAGAATATTTCTGGGAAAAGATATTAAACAAACTGAACAAAAATATAAAAAATTAGAGACCCCCTAGTGGGAACAATCAAGGGTTGTCTTTCAATGAAAATTGACACAGGCTGAAGTGAGAGTTGAAAAGATGCCACTTTTAAATGGGTATAAAAAAGAATATTTGGGTGGGGTCTTGACCTCATGGGCTACAGGTCAGCACAGTATGGCCTGAGRGACTAGGTCCTGAAGGTGGCACCTCTCTAGCGGGGACAGCATCAACAGTGGTGAGCAGGAGGGAAGGGACAGAGAAGGCTCAGGACTCCAGCAGGGAGGGGTCTTCCCAGCTTAGTCCTGTGGAAGGAGGGGTTAAAAGACAGCATGCATCTCACCAAAAATAACAAAARGGAGTTTGCTCGTAGACTTAAAACTTCACTAATTTTACTTCAGGCAGCAGCAACAACCTGAAATGTAAGACTGGTTTGCTACGCTTGGTTAAAATGACACATGCACTTGAAAAGTCACTTTCCTGCTGTCCGTTGGCAAACAATCTCACTTCTTTTCTGTGGTACAAGGACCTTTTCCCCTCACCATGACAAAAGCCAAACAAAACACAGGTCAGTATTTTAAACTCCATAACATAAAAATAATCATACTTTAGAAAGTCATTTAAAAGCTCACATGTAAAGTAGATTGTAAATGTAGAGAAACCTGGGTGCCTTCATAAAAGGGCAAAGGTGAGACAGCCAAATTAAGAGTTAAGTGCTACATTTTAAAAGGGGTTGATATATATAAATATTAAGAACGTGTTTTATGTGGAAAAACCTTGTTAACTAACGTAAGTTAGGTTATTGGAAGCTTTGCTTCTCCGCAGACTTTGGGCTGTGACACGGTCCCGGCACCTCCTGTCTCCTTATTTGTGCAGTCTGCCCTTCCCTCCTCCATCCCTCCAGCTGAGGTGAGGATGTGCCTTCCTCAGGTCCAACCACACCTCCCTACCATCATGGCTGCCAAGGTCTCGCTGCTGAGCCACCCCCTCTCTTATTTCAGCCCACCYTCCTTAGAGTCCCCCAGCCTCTACCACGCAGAGGACAGATGCTCTCAGCTCTGGCCAGCGTCCTCTCTGCAGGAGACCAGGGAGGCTCTGGGATATGAAACCGCCCCACCTCCCATTCTGCGCCGTCTTTCTCCTATCTGGGCTGCTCTCCACGTGACTCATCCTCTCCTCAGGGCTGAAAAGGGGCAGATGCTTTCTATATTCCTTAGTCAAAATTCTCAAGGAACCAAATCTGATTGGCTCAGGAAATTATCTGTCCTCCACGTTATGATATTTTAAAACTTAAAAACTTAAAAACTTAATCCTTAAGTATGTATCTCCTCAGGTTATTATCCTGCATAATCACAATATAATTTATCACTTAAGAAATTTAGCATGTTCCCTAGTCCAAAAATCTGAAATCTAAAAATGCTCCAAAATTCCAGACATTTTGAGCACCAACAAAATGTTTCAAAAGTTCTGGGGCCTTTAGGATATTCAGATTAGAGATGTTCAACTAGTAAAGTCTATGCAAAAATTCCAAAATCTGAAAAAAATCCAAAATGTGAAACACTTCTGGTCCCAGCATTTTTGGTAAGAGGCACTCAACCTGCACCACTATCTAATAAAATCCATGTTTCCCAAACTGTCCTAACACAGCTGCTCCTCACTACAGTCCAGTCAGTCAGGGATCACCTACTGCATTTGGCTGAAGGTCACCTGGTCTGACTTAGCCTAAGACAGTTCTCCAGACTTTTTTTGTGTTTCATGGTGTTAGCATTTGTGTTTGTGTGGGTGTGGGAGGGGGAGGGATCAAATCCAGGGATTTGCATTTGCTCAACATGCACTACCCCTGATAATAATGTTTTATTATTATTTTTTTTAATCTTAATGTTTTTTAAACTGTTTTGGATATTTTAAAACTTGACTTTAAAAGAAATGATTGGGCTTTTGACACCTCGTAAGTACACAGGCTTTGCCTCTGGATTTCCTTCTAGTATTCTGAATCTATTTACAACAACAGAAACTATTTAAAAAGCAAGCACAGAAYAGTAGAGTTGGAACTGGGCTCAAAGACTACCCTCTCAAATCCCCTGTGGCCACACATGAGGAAACTGAAACCCAGAAGCATTTGGAAACTTGTTCTGGGTGAGGTCTTAAATGGAGGTCTGACCTCCTTTCCCTTGGCAGCTCTTCTTTCACACTGCTCTAAAAAAGTTTCCAGACCATCTTTCGCTCTTTTTACGTTTAAAACATTATTCTTATATATTTCCAGATTTAAATGTAAGAAAGTTTCCTATGGCATTCCCTATAAACAAGCATTCTTCCTTCTTAGTGCTTGAATAGCTGTCTCACAAATGCCACAGATACAAACCAGGTAAAATGGCTTTTGGGGGACACATCCGCCTTAACCTGTCCTGACCCATGTTATGGTTTCAATATGAGGTATCCCCAAAAAGCTCATGTGTGAGGCAATGCAAGAAAGTTTAGAGGAAATGACTGGGTTATGAGAACCTGAACCTAATCAGAGCATTAACCCCCTGACAGGGAGTGAATGGTAGTAACTGTAGGTAGTAGGGTGTGGCTGGAAGAGGGGGTCAGTGGAGGGGCATGCCTGTCGGGTGTACACCTTGTTCCTGGTGAGCAGAGGTCTCTCTCTGCCATGTCCTGAGCTGCTTTCCTTCAACTCATTCATTCACCCTGATGTTCCACCTCGTCTCCAGCCTAGAGCACTGGAGTTGGCCATCTGTGGACTGAGATCTCTGAAAATGTGAGCACCAAATAAACTTTCCTCTTCTAAAATCGTTCTTGTCAGGTCTTTTGGTTACAGCAGTGAAAAAGCTGACTAAAACACCCAGCAAGAACAAAGGGATCCAGACATCAAGACCTACACAGGTCAGTGTGAAATGGGAGGACCTTGCTCTGGGTCAGTTCGAGTTTCAGTTATTTATTCATAACCTTGGGTAAATCATTAGAACTCTAAAATGCTTTTTCCTCACACTTAAAACAGTAATGTGGATAACTAGAATCTCGTAGGTTTGTTACGGTTTATATCTTAAGTATCAGAAAACAGGTACCAGGAAGTGGGGTCATTACTGTGACTGCACTTGATGATGTCATTGGAATTGGTTTACAGGAGAAATTTGGAAAAGTGTGGAGAAGCAAGCTAGAGAAAACTTAAAGCACTGTAAGCAGAGCTTAGAGAGCAATTTTAGTGTGGGCTGAGAAGATCAAAATTCTAATAGAAATGTAAAAAGTCAAAGCCAGGCTCATCAGGTTTCAGATGGAAATGAGAGTCTATTGGGACTTGAACTAGGGGCCAACTGTGTTACATTCTTAGGGGAAAAGCCTGTCTACGTTTTATCCATACACTGAGACTTTGTGGGAGGCTGAGTTTAAAGGTGATGGATTAATTAATCTGGTGGAGAAAATTTCAAGGCAGAACAGAATTCAGACTATGGCATGGGCATTACTGGTTAACTTTATCCAGCTTACAGTGAGAACTGAGAGCAAAAAACAGAAGAGAAAGATCTGAAAACCTTGCAGTTTGGCCAGAAAGGAACATGTTTAAAGCTGCAGCCAAGGAGGGTGTGAGGATTAAGGTCATTAAAAAGCAGCCAAGTGCTTTGCTCTGGACAACTGAAAAGATGCCTGGAGAGAATCTCAGGAATTGGCACCACGGAGGGCTAAAGGATATACAAGTGCACACTCATCTCAAACACTTGCCTTTGAGAAGAAAGCCACGGGGCACCCCACTCACACAGGGCCCCGCAGGGAATGGTTTCCAGGCTGTTCAGCCAGCCTAACACTCAGGGACTGCTGCAGCCGTGGTTCAAGGGGCCCATGGAGAGGTCACGCAGGTGGCAGACCTTGCTGTTTTCCATGAGATGCTGAATTTGCAGGCATGCAGAGTGTAAGAGTTATGGGGTCATGGAGGTTTCCACCAAGATTTCAAAGGATGTCCTGGGAGGTCAAGAGGTATGTGGAAGTGTTGGAATCTCTGCAAGTAGCCCCTGAAAGGACTATGCCCAGTAAAGCAGTGAGACTGAAGCTGGAGTATAGTAGACCAGGAAGTGAGAGATTCCAGGAATGTGCTATGCCTTCCAAGGGAAGTTGCATGCAGCAAGCAGAATCAGCCCCAGAGAATGGCTGTGCGGGCTGCAGTCAGCAAGGCTGCAGGAATGGTGCAGCCCAAGCCTTCTGGAGTCTTTGAGGTACCACATATGACTCAGACGCCAGTCATGGAGCTACAGGATTTAATGTTTGCTCTGGTCCAATTCCTCCTCATTATTTTCTCACTCTTAGGAATAGGAATGGCTATCCTGTGCCACTGCGATTGTAAAATCTTTGAAGAGACTCACAGCTGAGTTTGCCTTGAGTCTCAGAGGAGACTTCAGACTTGGACTTTTGAGTAATGCCGGAATAGCTAAAACTTTGGGGACTCCTGAAGATGGACTAAGTGGATTTTGCATTGAGATGGACATGAGCCTTTGGGTCCAAGTATGGAATGCTATGGTTTGTATCTTAAATGTCTGCCAAAAGCCCATGTGTGCTGGGCATGGTGGCGCACGCCTATAATCCCAGCAGCTTGGGAGGCTGAGGCAGGAGGATCACAGGTTCAAAGCCAGCTTCAGCAATGGTGAGGTGTTAAGCGACCCTGTTTATAAATAAAATACAAAATAGGACTGGGGATGTGGCTCAGTGGTCAAGTGCCCCTGAGTTAAATACCGGGTTCAAAAAAAAAAAAAAAAAAAAAAGCCCATATGCACGTCTATAGCACTATCTGAAGGTGGCAGAACTTTTAGGAGGTGGGGCCCGAGTGGAGGACGTTAGGTCACTGATGGGTATGCTTGAAAGGGAGACTGGGACTCTGGTTCCTTCCTCTCTGTTTTCTTAAGTTATCATGAGATGAGAAACTTTGCTCCACAATCCATTCCCTGCCATGGTGTTCTACTTCACAATAGGCCCCAAAACAAGAGAGTCAAGTGACCTACTACAGACTGAAAGTAWGAACCAAACAAATGTTTTCTCCTGTTAAGCTGATTTTCTCAGGTATTCAGTCACAGTGAGGGAAAGCCGAGAGGAAATGATATAAGCAAAGCACCTGACATATGGCCCACACCCAGGCACGCTCATTCCTTCCCTATCCCACTCCTGTCTCCAGGAATTCCTAGTTTACATGGCCTTGGGGAAATGGCCGGTAGTGAAGAGCTTACAATTTACCCTCCCTTTAACATTAACAAAGAAGGAAAAATGTGGTCTGCTAATTAAATATGGTTTCTAGTTAAAGGGATTTAAACTATCTTTTATATAGTTATTAAAGATACATTGCCCTCAGCCAGGCGTGGTGGTGCACGGCTGTAATCCCAGCAGCTCAGGAGGCTGAGGTAGGAGGATTATGAGTTCAAAGCCAGCCTTAGCAAAAGTGATGCACTAAGCAACTCAGTGAGACCTTGTCTCTACATAAAATACAAAATAGGGCTAGGGATGTGGCTCAGTGGTTAAACGCTCCTAGGTTCAATCCCTGGTACCCCCTTCCAAAAACAGATACATTGCGCTATATAGAGATATTTGGTTTTGATAAAGACACAGTTATAATACCAATTTTTCCAGTAAAACAAATAAGTGTTTACATGTAGGAGGAAATACTAGAATGAAATACTTCAAAATATAAATAGGTATCTTGACATAGTGGGTTTCTAAGTGATTTTTCCCTTACTATTTTGAATTTTCCAAAATTTCTATTATGAAAATTCTACTTTCATAATAAAAAGTTATATTTTTCTAAAATAATAAAAATATTTCAATAATACATAGTTATCATGGAATTATATCCTGAAGTTGTGTATCATGAAAAGGCGATGGTATGATGTAATACAGCATAGTCTACAATAAGCCTAACTAAGTCAGTTTTCCTACGTCTTCAAAACAATTGCTATTTCTTCATGTTGGCATCAGACGTGGCACTTGAGAGCCATGTGGTGTAAAACATATGTCTTTAAACTCAGAACAACACATAATGCAGCAAGATGCTCATGGTATAAGAGGCAAACTGAACAAATAGATACCTACTGCATAGTCAATGAGGATGTATTAATTGTGGGTACAATTAATCAAAAATATTCAAATCATTACTTCTTTCCCTTTTTTTGCCAAGTATACATAAATGAATTTGTAATTGTTAATTAAATATAAAGTAATTCTGCATAAACATGATGTGGTTCAGCTCTGGCAATATTGGCAACCTACCTGCAACTGACACAGGCAAGGAAGAGGGGCCTCAGGCAGAGCTGACACAGGGACACTTTATCTGGGGGAAGTCGTTACAATGTGACAGTTCTTCATTACTGATGGGTAGTTAGCTGCTGTCTCTCCCCCTAGTACCCTAGTACCTCCAACCGCCCAAGGATCTCYTTAGACCTAACCCCTTATCCTAGTCGCTGGTGTCCACCTGAGAGTCAATATCTCCAACGCACTGTATCTCCACCTATGTCTTCTAACCACTCCACTCGCTACTGTCATGGCTACCATGGTCATTTCAATACTTTCGCCTCACATTTCTAAAGAGCTGAATTTACAGAGCATCTCTGTCAGTCTGCACAAGTACCTGAAAGCACATGTGTGTTTAAGAGAAGGAAGCAGGCATGAGGGAAATCTTACAAGAAATTTCCTCACAGGCTTATTTCAGAATCTCGAAACACATACACGTAAGGTTCTGATCCCTCAAGGATTTTGTTCTTCTACCTAACCAATCCCCAAACCACTTAACCCTCTCACTGCCTGGCAGATCCTCTAACCTAGCTGAATATATTGTCTTCTCCACCTCCCAAGAAAGACAGAAAGTGAATTTCTGATCCTAATGAGAACAAAGAGTTCCTGAAAAGGAGGTACAGCACTTCCAAAATACATTTAATATCCTAAAATGCCATCTGTGATCAAAAATGTAAGTTTAGAATACTGAAGTGAGTTAGCATAAAATAAATTTATTTTTATCTACAAGGAGTAAAAAATAATTCATTAAGTAGTTTAACAAATTTTACCAAAAAATAGAAATTCAAAAAATARYATAATTTGTTTTTAAAATAAAACAGTATTAAAAATCTTTTTATAGCAATAGTGAATTTAATAAGTCAGAGAATAACAAATTCCATGACTATTGAAAATGGCTCTTCTAGGAACTAGAATGTCATCAGCACGTATGTTAGTTATAATGGCAAGTTGGTRATTATGTTTTTATTATTGTTGCTGTTGCTTTATTTAGAATGAGTTTTATKTATAGCTATTTTTCTCCCTTTTCAGAACAATACCCCTAAGTTAAATATGTTACCAAGAACTACAATGTGTTAAATATCCAAGAATAAATGTAACTAATCCATTATATATGACAATTTTCAGAATCCTAAAAAAGAAAATGGTACAAGATACATTTCTATAGCTCACTATAAGAAAAAGAATGTCCAAACCTGCATAGGTCCAGGAATGCAAGATAGAACTCTCTCTATGTTCTCAGAGGTCACATCAACATCATTCACAGCAATAAGGACATCACCTATAAAGGGAATAACAATAAAAGATAGTTGTGTGAGCAAACAAAAACCAAAGAGATGCAGATYGGAAACATTAAAAAGTGGCTATCCTGACTTCCTCAAAGTAAAATAGAAAACACTGTACACACACTCAGAGATTGTCCAAGATTGTACAGYGTCTGGAACAGAGTTAGTGCCCAACTCTACTACTACTTACAATGCCACCCAATATTGTGTCATAACTACATACAAGCTATGAATATTTATAGGGATAAACATTCCCATTCTTAGGACATGTAAGATTTCTAGCATAAACAAGTACTACACTTAACAAAATTGAATCTAACCACTTAGTCCCACAGTTTAAAAAAAATTACTGAAATTTTAATTAAATCCATGTGGTAGGTTGTAACTCGATGTGCTCTGACCTTTGTTGCTGTTACTGATGTGTCAACAAACATTTCTTTGCTTCAAAAGGTTCTGACTATATCAAAATATATGTATCAGTAAAAACCTGCTTTCCCATGGCTTTTCTTTAAATATATATGTCTTCAAATTTGATAATAAAGATTAAGGTTAGAATGAAAATTTACTTTCAGAACATTTTTCAGGTAATGTCAAAACACTAATAAGCTGAGTTGGTAGAAATATAAATATACCTATTATTTTTTTCCCATTATTCCAAAATATATCATTAGCAAATAGACCAAATAACTCACATGCATCCATTCATTTAGAAAGCATTTATTGAGAACCTACTATGGGCAAGGTATAATCAGTGTGGATAGAAATCGGGAAAAAAACAAAATGTCCACACTCCTGAAGCTATTCTTTGGGGAAGATGGGTAATAAACATGTACACAGGTAAAATAGTGTAGGTGGACAGTTCTCTATGGGTCTCACATTTCTGGACATTCTGCAAGCAAAGGCACTGAGTCTCACATTGTAGTTCTGGACTATCTTTTCAAAGATGTTTATAGAACAAGCAGCCTGGATGACAGAGACAGTGCTTCCCTCTTGAGCAGAGGCTGAGTTCGTTCACTGTACAGTATATAAAAACAATTTCTTGTCACTATCCCATTATTCATAAAATTATTCCTTACAAGAGGCTGGTGTTCCCCAAGTTCAAAGTTCCTCCACTTAATGCAAACTGCTACTAGGCATCACCTGGCCCTTGTTAGGGCTGGGAAGTAGAAGACAATGCTGACAGTTTATGTACCACTGTTCCTCTCCTTGATGCTCTATCATACAGGAGGGTTGAGGGTAGAGTGAGGGGGACGAGCTCAGCTACCTGTGAAGGTTTACGAAGACCTGCATTAGATGCTCAAGCAAATAACCCAGTTCAGAGTGCCAACCTTGGGTACCGAGTATGATGTGATGTACTGTGATGGTCAACCACTGCAGCACTTTGGGCAACCTGGGAATGGTTCTTAAAAAATCCCTGCAGACCAAAATAAACCTCAAACTAAAAGCAACACGCCCCTCTAGTTGCTCTGAAGTAAGAGACTATATCAATTATTTACAGCTGTATTTTTTTTTTTTAAAGAAAAGACATAGGGGCTGGGGATTTAGCTCAGTTGGTAAAGCACTGAGCTAAATCATGCACAAGGCCCTGGGTTCAATCCCCAGCACCACAAAAAATAAATAAGGCATGATAAACATTGAATGTTGATATATTCACTTTTAGAGCAAAGTGGAGTTTGGGCATCTACAGACTATGCCATCCTCAGGACCCTTAAGACAGTGAGGCCCTTTTAAATTTGGTACTCCAAACTAAAAGACCACTGAGTGAAATCCCATGCAACTTATTTTTTTTGGGGGGGGGCGGGTACCAGAGATTAAATTCAGGAGCACTTGACCACAGAGCCACATCCCCAGCCCCATTTTTTATTTTATTTAGAGACAGGGTCTTGCTGAGTTGCTTAACACCTCACTCTTGCTGAGGCTGGCTTTGAACTCGTGATCCTCCTGCCTTAGCCTTCCAAGCAGCTGGGACTACCGGCATGCGCCACCAAGCTCAGACCATATGACTTTTTCCTCCCAACTCTAATGAATATATTTTGATAGTTGAGTGTTCTAAGGAATAATTTCATGTAGAGCAAACCTCTCTAAAAATAGGAGACATGTATCATCAGAAAGTTATAGGGAAATAAATTTAAAAAGCAAGTGAAGTATAACTAATATTTTAAATGTTTAATAGAATGACTTCCCATTCTATAAAGGAAGAATTATGTTGACTTCTCATTCTCCCAGATATGTGTTTTCTGTTAGTTCTCCAGAGCACTTGTGTGAAGTGACTCACAAGGTGGGCTTCCTGGACACCGTCCATCGCTGCAGCAGGCAGCACGCGTCCAGGGAAGCTTCCTCAACAACACACAGTGCTCACCTGTTCTGTCCCATTTCAAAGGCTAAACGGAAATGAACTGGGGATTATTAGTGGGTAGAAATCAGAAGAAAGTTTATGAAAGGATACATTCAAGAATCAAATAAAATAGAAAATGTGAAATCAGTTAATCATAGTCTTAAATTAATTCCTCATTATAAATAAAGTTAACTATTTGGACAAATGTATTGATTCCTCAGCATGTACTTAACAACTAATGTAATATGGAAGAGGCACAAATAGCTATGAAAAATATATGCAAAAATTTGTTTACTGCTGTATTAAAACTATATATAAACTGAATATACAGCTTTATGCAGCTTAAGAAATTACGATTTATTATATATTCCAAAATAGAAGATTTTTACATGCTTCCAATACAAAGAAAGAAGGTATGTTTGATGTAATGGACATGCTAATTGCCCTGATTTGATCATTTTATATTGCTTGCATGTGTTGAAATACCACATTGTGTCACATGAATAAGTTAATAAAGAAAGACACTATTTTGGGGAAAAAATTGTTATACACAAATGTAGGGCAAAGAAAGYGTAATACATCAAAATGTTGCCTTTGGAGATGAGCTTTTTTCTTTTATGTTAACTTTACATTCTAAACTGTCTACAATGAACATATGTTATTGCTATTATAATGAGGAAAAAATTAAAGCTCATATTTTACTAAAAAAAAAAAAAATCCTCCACTGTGGTGGGTGTAATGAACCCGGCTCCAAGATGTTCATGTTCTGATGCCTGAAATCTGGGAATATGTTAACTCACACAGCAAAAGGGACTTTGCAGATGTAATTAAATCAAGAGATTTGGAGATTATCCTGGATTATCTGAGAAGTCCTAATGTAATAACAGGGTCTTTTAGCAGAGGCAGAAGTGTCAGAGCAGAGAGACTGGAAGATGATATGCTGCTGGCTTTGAAGATGGGGGAAGGGATCACAAGACAAGGAGTGCAAGTACCTCAGAGAGGTGACCAAGAAAAGGGATTTGCATCTGGAGCCTCCAAAAGGAAATCAGCCTTGTGGACACTTTGGTTTTAGTGTGGGAAGACCCATTTTTAGATCTGTATTTACAGAACTGCAAGATAATACATCTGTATTGATTTAAAACACTGATTTGTGGTAATTTGCCATAATAGCAACAGAAAACGAATGTATCCATCTAACAAAACAAAGCAATTTTTGCTGAGTAGCAAATAAGAGTCAGGGATCATGAATGGTCAAGAAGAAAGATATGATACTCACAGAACATTTGCAGCATAGTAGGGAAAAGTACATTCGTTTTGTTAGAAGGAGGCATTTATATACCAAAAGATTGGGAAATATGGATCTATGGTAGTGGCTCAGTAGTAGAGCACCTGCCTAGCATATGTGAGGCACTAAGTTCAATTCTCAGCACTACATATAAATAAGTGAACAAAATAAAGGCCCATAAATGAATAAAAGAATTAAAAAAAGAAGTTGGGAAATATGTGTGAAACAGCAAGGTAAATTTAATTATTTAAGCCAAATTTGACCTCAAGGAAAGAAGAATCTAGTTTTGAACAGTTACTATACTGCACTTTTAAACATTCAGAAGTCAACATTTTCTACCATTGTATTTACTAACACTGTATTTTATTGCTATGACTTTTAACATTTTAACTTCAACTCCTCATCCACAAAATATGGGCTCTAAACAAGAGAGAATTACAGGCCTCCCAACCTACCCTTATAGAAGTCCATGAATAATGGTAATTCACATATTGTAACTATCATTCAGAACATCTGATTAAAAATATCATATTTCCTGAACAACATGTTTCCTAATGAGAGTGGATAAGAAACTAATGCAAGACTTTGTTGTGTGTGTGTTTGTGGGTTTTTTGGTGGCAATGGGGATTGACTCCAGGGCCTCACACATACAAAGCAAGTGTTCTACCACTGAGATACACTCCAGCCCTTCTTTAAAATTTTGAGACAGGGTTTCACTAAGTTGCCCAGGCTRGCCTTGAACAGAACTTGTATCCCCGCTGCCTCAGCCTCCCAAGTAGCACCACTCCACCATCATACCTAGCTTAGTGCAAAATTTTTATTCCCATTAAGTTAAAAAATAATATTACAGAAAGGCTAAAGAAATTACAATAGTCCTAGCATTACAGCTATGATCATTTTTAAAAGTTAAGTATAGTTGTTCACCCAAATTAGGTATATGGATATTCATTCTTTTAAATGTCTCAAGTGATAAGAATTTATATGTTAGTATACAGTTTATAGAATTACTGTTTTAAGTCATATCACATTAAAATATTAGTAGAAATTTTTATGCTTGTAAGTTTTTTAAAAAAATATTTTTAAATGCCTCAATAAAAATTTTTATGTTTTATCTCCTTTTAAAAATCAGGGTCAACATTTAGGTCATCCTTTAATTCACAGATCATTTTAATTATGAACCTTCTGAACTCCTTCTCTGATATTTCATCAACTTTCCTGCCCATGGGTTCTGTTATTACAGCCACATCAATGTTTGTAGCAGCACAATTCACAATAGCTAAACTGTGGAACCAATCTAGATGCCCTTCAATAGATGAATGGATAAAGAAAATGTGGTGTGTATATATATATACAATGGAGTATTACTCAGCAATAAG